GAAGGATTCCAGGGCCAGGAATATGGCCTCCACGCTGGCATTATCCCAGTCAAAGTGGAGCAAAGCGAGACGGTGCGAGGTAGTCTCCGTCTCTTTTGCATCCTGAACTAGGGCGAACCAGTCGGCATCTGTGCAAACGGTACGTACAGAGTCACTAATTTGGTAACTGTACAGACGTTTACGTTGATACTCATAACAGCTTAGGGTTGACATTCACAGACAGATGCTTGGGGCAGGAAGTTGATGCAAAACTACCATTTATTCTAACATGACGTATACCTGACAAAGTCCAGATGTACTCGTGGAAGGACTCTGTGGTCCTATCTATGGAAAAAGGCAGGCTGGCGTTACCGTATGGTCAAATGGTTTAGATGTAGCCGGCTTATGTTAGGCTTTAATCACTTTTTCCTCTTCGTAGTGCAAAAATTACATGAGCGGGTCTCAAAAGCAAATCCTCCAAAACAAACAGGATCGCGGTCACGGTAAGCCGTTAAAATTGTTGGTCCTTAGGCAGCTGATGTTGCCGAAGTGTTCAGTGTTCTGCCGAACAGGAAGACAAAAAATTAAATCAACCGAGCAGACTTCGTTGAAATTCTTGCAAGTGTGATGAGAATAGGCTACCAGCATACGAAGCTTTCATGGAAATCAGCCTTTCATACAGCGCTCTGAAGATATCCGCTGTTTGTAAGTATTTCATCAATAATACTCGCGCTCTGTTCGATCGCGCCTCCGAATCACGACCATGTATTCCATCAGCAAATTAACCAGCGCCCTCCTCATTGGCCGACTGTGACCGCTCAGTTGCATGCCTGAGCCACCTGTCCCGGGTGGCGATAACGCCCAGATGAACATGGGCGAACCTCTTAACTCGCGATATTCAGACTATGGAGTTGGCGTACCGATTAGCTAAACGTTGCTAGGGAATTTTTCGTTAACCGAATGCAATTGAAGGCGATTGTTTGTGATGCAGAAAAGGTATGACATGGAATCGGCTACACAAGTCGTGCTAAATAACATGACAAGTACAGGAATGCGTACTATTGCCTACGCGAATCGGTTACTTCGGCAAAGTTATGAAATGATAATCAGATACAGATTGAGGTGAGACTTATAAAAAATTATTGGGCTGTGGCTAGGGCAACTTCCACATCGTTGACCACCGTGGCATTGTTGCGTTCTGGCTTCTCAGACGATTCGGACACTTCTCGAGGAATACAGCTGTAAATACGGCGTCTATCACATCAGTTCTCACGCCGTGCCTGGTTATCTATCTCGGATATGGACTAAAAGGTTAAGTTCATCGAGGCAAACTGATGAAATGTTTCCGGTAAAAAACTATGTTAGGGTATTTCCACCAGACTTATACATTTCAGCAGACGTTTTCTCGCCATTGCTAGAGCCTTGTTATTTTGCAAACTCTTAATCACCGCTAAGACTGCCTAAGACAGCAGACTGAATGGCAAGAGAACTTTTGACTTCGGTGGGGTTCGATGAGAGATCGTCTTATATAAATCGCCTTGAAAATGTTCATTAACGGCAGAGGCAAATTTGTCCAGAAATGCGGACAATCATGCCGTTGGTCCAAGGCTCATGAGGTTAAACCTGCGGACGAAGCACTAAACAAAACAAAAAAACCCATTCATGACCTCCTACTTCTTTCGTCAGAATGCCCGTTCATTTCTAGTCAATTTAATCGCCAAACCACCTCAAAAGTGCTCTGTTTGCATGAAAAATAGGTAATTTCAATCTGGACATCGCGCTCAGCGAGACCTGTTCCTTGGAAAAAAGACAAGAATGAATTGACGGAAGTTACGCCTTCTTCTGAAGCGGTCGTCAAAAGAGACAATTTCGTCCTTGCCATCAGAAAAGACTACCTTGGGAAATTTCAGTATTACGGGGCTCCCGTTCAGTGGGGAGAAGACCGTCATCGTTATGCGTGTTTAGGTCTGCAAGGAAGGCAGACGACCTTCCTCACGTGACAAGAAGTGTTGGTCTTACCACCTGTCTCTCTCTGCAGGAGACGATTGGGTCAATGCAATGATGTTCAGCAAAAAAGCTCTGGGCGTAGGTTCAATTCCAACTGAGGCCTAAAAATATGATGGCCTTGCGCTATGTACGGATTTACCTTACAATGTCCCGTGGAGCGACAACGGAAAAAGCCCACAAGATGTCAAGGGTGCAACTGTTAATGCATACAAACAGTATAGTTAAAAGTGATGTACTGTAGAAAACTGAAGTGAAACTAGTATGTTCTCACGTGAGCGGACAATACGATCTTAAAAGACTCTGTTGTGAAAATTATGAGAAAGAGCGCTCGGTACTTGCTTCCAATCTTTTAGCCTCATGTCCT